CTTATCCTGTACCACCTCTTGCTCCACTTCGGCTCTCTCTCCTAGGCCTTGGAATTCTATCTGTATCTAACCTCAGCCTCCAGCATGAGCACCTCTATAGTAGTGCCTCAATGCCTAGCATGTAAGGTAAGGCTCAGAAGAGCCAGGGTTACCCATTTGCCTTTAGAGCGAAGTCTTGGCATCTTATATAATGATGCATCCTATATTCTAACAAGTAAATTCAGTGATGCGTCACCTACCCATTTTTAAAGCTAATAAAAGAAACGAGTGTGTAGCTCTTATCACAGTAGTGGGAGTTGTAAGATTAAAAAAAAAAAAAAAAGAAAGAAAGGCCAGATGCCTTTGACTTTGTTTCTCTGTAACCACTAACATCTTTGCTCTATGTTTGCATCTCAGTGATGCTCTTTTTTGCTGCTAGGCCAGGTCTATTGTTAGCACAGTGCATGTGGGCTGCACTGGCAATTTATGTCCTAGGAGGTTTCAGTTTACAAGAATAGAAAAAATTGACTTTTCACAGCCACTGCCTCTGTAATTAAAATGGTTTATTTCCTAAGTTAGTAAGGGATGAGTTCATGATAAGGGGAATAAGAGTATTTCCAAAAAGCCTGAATTTATATTCTTGGACCACTGCCATAAATACTAACAGGTTTGCTATTGCTTGAAAGTCAGTTTGAATGTTGGATATAACTAGATAGTGCAAATTGGATAAATTATGCTCTACATTCTATTCTTTTGGAGAACATATTGAGTTTTTTTTTTTTTTTGGTTGATCTTGGGGAGATGGAATAAATGGAAGCATTGTGGCAGAAGTTTCTTTCTTAAAGAAAGTGTAGTTAGGAATATACATATCTTCCTATGGAAGGGTGGGGAAAATCTCTATTCTTTTTCAACTTCGTTTTTGATCTCAGATACTATAGATTTAAAGCACATACACTTTGGCTTCTTGGGCTTGATGCTTACTTCTTAAAAAATTTTCTAGCTGTGCCTTGCAGCGTGCAGGATCTTAGGTCCCCAACCAGGGATGAAACCTGTTTGCCCTGCACTGGGAGCGCGGAATGTTAACCGCTGGACTGCCAGGGAAGTCCCTTGATACTTGTTTTATCGAAGATCCTAAGTGGCTTCCTGATTCTATTGTTGAGACCATGTGGTTCTCATCCCTTGGAAGTCACAGGGGACAACTGTCTGTATGAAGTTAATGAAGGCGTTAGTGCTCGTTAACTTACTGCTCCTCTGGGATTCGTTTAGGCTGGAGTAGCACCTCACACCTTCAGTAGAAGGATGTGTGACACATTGCAGCGGTGTGTTGCCCAGAGCCATCTGGGAGAAATTCAAAATTGACAGAGAGGAAAACTCTTTAGGAGAAAATCAGCTGCCTCTCGTGGGGGAGAAAAAATATCACAGGCAAAAATTCCTGCATCATCTTTTGAAGTCATTGAAATGAAAAGGCTTTTTGCTTGAGTTATTCAGCTAACTGCCTTAATTTTCCACGTGGTATGTCAGTTGAGATCTGTCATGTGAGTAAACACCTGGCTTTAATGATGATTGAAGTAACTAAAGTTCAGGAAATCATGAAAGTAATATCCTTTTCCTTGGAGTTTATTAACTTAGCCAACAATCGTGGTCTACTCCACTTCAAGCTTTGCACTAGGAAGTGGTCACAATTGTGTCCTCAAAAGGAGCAGTTAGGGATTCTGAAATGTGAATATGTCTGTAAACCTTTCCAGGGCAAAACCGGGTGGTGGCTTTCTTCGTGTCTGCAGATTCTTTGATAGTATTCCATGCAAAAGCTGAAGTCTAATCTCCCCCCACCCTGTGAATGTGAATGTGAGCTGAATTGGCAACTTATTTCTCATTAATAGAATGTGGTGGATGTGATGGCCTAGGCTAGGCCATTAAAAAAGATACAGCTGAGAAATGGAACTCAGCTTTGTTGGGATAAAGTTCTGAATCTCTAACCCAAATTTTATTCTCACTGCACAGCTAAATCTTTTAATCTAATTGAATTTTGTGTGACCCAGGTGAGTCATACTAGACTATTAAAACTGGTCCGTTCAGATTTGGGAATTGGTGAGAATGATTATTTAGATGAGGCTTATCTGAGCTTCTTTAGCTAGCAAGTAGTGCCAAGGATACACAACAAGACCAGGGATGTGTGCTGATATAAGTGAATGTGGCTTCTCAGGACCTCCTTTGTCTCTCACAGACATGTTCTACCCAAGGTCAGAGAGGCCCCAGCAATTTTCAGTGAGGGATGACTGTGTCAAGTCAGAGGAGCTCACAGCTTCATAATTCTTTGCTGAACTACAATGAAATAGCTTAATTCTATAATATATCTTAACCTGGGTTCTCTAGAAAGTGGATCCAGAAGCAAAGGCTTATGTGCTCTTATGTTATCAAGGAGTATATTTTATAGCATGGAGTACAGGTGAGGGGCCAGGGAAGAAGGCAGGAACACGAGAGAGCTGTCTGAGGTATCAGGTGTGATAATCGTTTGATCTCCATGGAACCATCTTTTAGAAGGTAATATAATTGACTACTTCTTGGGGTTGTCCACTTGGTGGGGGAGGATGATAAAGAATTTGTCAGTCATTTCCATTTTTTCTGAATCAATGTTTTGCTTTTCAATTCCCCAAGTACTTATGGGTGACATTTATGTGGGAGCCAGTGGGTCCCACAATACCTCATGTCTCTGGGTCAACCATGAAGCCCTGGGGGAGGGAAGAATGGGAGACACAGGCACGGAGATGAAGTCTTGATGAACTGTAAACCCATGAAGCTGGCCAGAGTCCATGCAGAGCTGGTCACCAATTGCTAGGACAAGGGTCTTGGTGACAGATGAGGCCTGAGAGGATCTGAAGGGCTGTAGGAGGTGTTGGAAGAGGTGTCTGATACACAATGCTTACAACCTACCAAATTCCCCATTGTATTCCTTGCCTGGTCATCAGGACTGGCGAGGTTTCAGAGTAGGGGTCAAGTCATAGACTTGGTTATTTTAAAAGAGCTCTTTGTGAATGACTTGTGTAAGAAGCATATAAAACAAGACGACACCTGTTAAAAATATAGATATCTAGGTCCCATCAGACCTACTGACTCAAAATCTCTGAGGCTGGCAACTAAAATAGGCATGTTGAACAAGTAGCTTAGGCAATCCTGAAGTGTACTAAACCTGAAGAATCACTAAGAAAACATGGGATATCAGTCAATTAAAATCAACTTTATTGAATATTGCTGTATTGTTTAAAAACACTATGCATTAGAGTAGACTTTGAAGTAATTTCCATATAAAATAATTTATCTAACAGGCCCCATTTACTTCAAGAATCTTGACAGGCTATTATCCATTTAAATCCATTGACTATATTTTATTTAAAAGGTCAAGTACTGAAGCTACTTTAGGTCCTTGAGTACTTTTAACAACATAGCTCCATAGCTCCTATAAAAACACACTTTTGTTGTCACTCATTACTTTATGGACTTTCCTGGAGCCAGCAAGGTAATATCACAGGGCCCACTCTCTGTGGTCTCTGGGCTCTGTGACCTGGACATTGCCTCCCACCACTTTTGCCTCAGATGAGGCACTCACCACAGGACATGGGACCTGGGTTTCCTGGTAGTTGCCCTAGTGAGTAAACACCTGGGAAGTGTGGAGGAAATTTTCTGACCTATGGAAGATGGGAGATGGGCCCCAGAGGATAAATATATCTCCGTTTCTTCCCCTGACAGAATTTTTGAGGTGAACTGGTTTCACAAGGCCTGTCTGGAAACCATCCCAGGCAACTGGCTGTTTTTTCTTGTGAAGCTGTGGTTCGATGAAAGGTATGCTGCCTTATATCTGCAGATGCTTTCTCCTTTCTGCCTTACTCTTACTGTCCTGGAATTGCATTTTCCCATAAAGCCTTGGCATGTAAGTCTTGCCACAAGCCTTTTTTTTTCCCCCTTAAGAAGCTCAAGGGAAGAAAATGGGTGCAGGAGTGGGTCTAGAAAGCAGACCCTCAGGACTGGATTTTGAGGCTGAATTGCCTGCTGTCTGAAAGCCATAGGAACTCCATTGCTGCCAGCACCTGGACAGTTAATAACTCTGGCATGCAGTGGCATCCCTGATTAGCTTTCTATAGCTGTTGTGACTAATTACCATAATCTTAGGGACTAAAACAGCAGAAATGTATTAATTTATTATCTTATGTTCAGTAGGTTAGAAGTCTGACTTCAGTCTCACTGGGCTAAAATGAAGGTGTCAATAGGGCTGTGATTCTTCCAGAGGCTACAGGGGAGAATCCGTTTCCTTGCCTTTTAAGCTTCTAGTGGCTTGTGGCAACTTTCTTTATCTTCAAAAGCCAACAACATAGCATCGTCACCCTTTCTGAAGCAAAACATTCCTTCCCCTGGCTACTTCCTCACTCTCCACTGCCTGGATACCGTGCAAAACCTCCTGTGAAGTCAATAACTTGCATGTCCTCATTAAGCTCAACTTTCATTATCCCTCATTGCCATCATGTTGAGAACAAGATTCAGGTCTAAATGGGGAAGTTCTGTTTCAGGAAGAAATGGTCCTCACAAAGGAGTTGTGAAAGTACCAGGAGGAACCGGGAGAACACAGGTAAACAGCAGATCTTGAGGATGTTAGTCCGGGGAGGGGAGGAACATAAGATTGAGAATTCACTGACAAAAGGGCACCCATACTCAGGATGCAGTGTTCCAATCAGACCCCTGGTACTCTTCCTAATCCCTTGCTGCTCTAGGCCTTAATCAGGGCTGCTCAAGGCCTGAATTAGGCATTGGGTTCCAGTAAATCATGTGGAGATGCCGTAACTTCTTGACCTAGAGGGTGTTCTCTCTCAGGTTTTGAGAATGGATGAACTTGTGTGCCAAAGGTTTTTTTTTTTTTCCCAGCCAAAGATGGAGAAGCTCTATACAGTCAGCAAAAACAAGACCGGGAGCTGACTGTGGCTCAGATCATGAACTCCTTATTGCCAAATTCAGACTGAAATTGAAGAAAGTGGAGAAAATCACTAGACCATTCAGGTAAGATCTAAATCAAATCCCATATGACTATACAGTGAAAGTGAGAAATAGATTTAAGGGACTAGATCTGATAGAGTGCCTGATGAACTATGGAGAGAGGTTTGTGACACTGTACAGGAGATAAGGATCAAGAACATCCCCATGGAAAAGAAATGCAAAAAAGCAAAATGGCTGTCTGAGGAGACCTTACAAATAGCTTTGAAAAGAAGAGAAGCAAAAAGCAAAGGAGAAAAGGAAAGAAATACCCATTTGAATGCAGAGTTTCAATGAATAGCAAGGAGAGATAAGAAAGTCTTCCTCAGATATCAATGCAAAGAAATAGAGGAAAACAACAGAGTGGGAAAGACTAGAGATCTGTTCAAGAAAATTAGAGATACCAAGGGAACATTCATGCAAAGAGGGGCTCAATAAAGGACAGAAGTGGTAGGGACCTAACAGAAGCAGAAGATATGAAGAAGAGGTGGCAAGAATACACAGAAGAACGGTATAAAAAAGATCTTCACGACCCAGATAATCAAGATGGTGTGTCACTCACCTACAGCCAGACATCCTGGAATGTGAAGTCAAGTGGGCCTTAGGAAGCATCACTACAAACAAAACTAGTGGAGGTGATGGAATTCCACTTGAGCTATTTCAAATCCTGAAAGATCATGCTGTGAAAGTGCTGCACTCAATATGACAGCAAATCTGGAAAACACTGCAGTGGCCACAGGACTGGAAAAGGTCAGTTTTCATTCCAATCCCTATGAAAGGCAATGCCAAAGAATGCTCAAACTACCTCATAATTTAACTCATCTCACATGCTAGTAAAGTGATGCTCAAAATTCTCCAAGCCAGGCTTCAGCAATACGTGAACTGTGAACTTCCAAATGTTCAAGCTGATTTTAGAAAAGTCAGAGAAACCAGAGATCAAATTGCCAATATCTGCTGGATCATCAAAAAAGCAAGAGAGTTCCAGAAAAACATCTATTTCTGCTTTGTTGACTATGCCAAAGCCTTTGACTGTGTGGATCACAATAAACTGTGGAAAATTCTGAAAGAGATGGGAATACCAGACCACTTGACCTGCCTCTTGAGAAACCTGTATGCAGGTCAGGAAGCAACAGCTAGAAACAGACATGGAACAACAGACTGGTTCCAAATTGGAAAAGGAGTACGTCAAGGCTGTATATTGTCACCCTGCTTATTTAACTTAAATGCAGAGTACATCATGAGAAATGCTGGGCTGGAAGAAGCACAAGCTGGAATCAAGATTGCTGGGAGAAATATCAATAACCTCAGATATGCAGATGACACCACCCTTATGGCAGAAAGTGAAGAAGAACTAAAGACCTCTTGATGAAAGTGAAAGAGGAGAGTGAAAAAGTTGGCTTAAAGCACAACATTCAGGAAACGAAGATCATGGCATCCAGTCCCATCACTTCATGGCAGATAGATGGGGAAACAGTGGAAACAGTGGCTGACTTTATTTTTCTGGGCTCCAAAATCACTGCAGATGGTGATTGCAGCCATGAAATTGAAAGTTGCTTACTCCTTGGAAGGAAAGTTATGACCAACCTAGACAGCATATTAAAAAGTTGAGACATTACTTTGTCAACAAAGGTCCATCTAGTCAAGGCTATGGTTTTTCCAGTGGTTGTGTATGGATGTGACAGTTGGATTATAAAGAAAGCTGAGCACTGAAGAATTGATGCTTTTGAACTGTGGTGTTGGAGAAGACTCTTGAGAGTCCCTTGGACTGGGAGATCCAACCAGTCCATCCTAAAGGAAATCAGTCCTGAATATTCATTGGAAGGACTGATGCTGAAGCTGAAACTCCAATACTTTGACCACCTGATCTGAAGAGCTGACTCATTGGAAAAGACCCTGATGCTGGGTAGGATTGAGGGTAGGAGAAGGCGATGACAGAGGATGAGATGGTTGGATGGCATCACTGGCTCAATGGACATGGGTTTGGGTGGATTCCAGGAGTTGATGCTGGACAGGGAGGCCTGGCATGCTGTGGTTCATGAGGTCACAATGAGTTGGACAAGACTGAGCGACTGAACTAAACTGAACTGAATTGAATATGCAAAGGTGCATATGGCACAAGAACCCTCCCTTGCCTCAGGTAGTAGCTAATCTAGTATGGAAGATATATACCTGGGACAGAAATTATCTTCTATATCAAGGCCACACAATTGTATTAATAAATCCTTTGGAAATATGTGTTGTGGCATATGAATTTCAGTGTAGTGGTTCTATAATGCTGCTTTTCTGATATGACAAAGTAATATGATCTTATGCTAGCTATGCAAAGAAGTGCATATACTTGAATAGACTTATAAAACATTTCATCTGAAGCCTTCAACTTAAAAAAAAGATTCAAGAGGGAAAAATATAGATTCAGATACTTGTTTCTTAAATACATTTACATAATATCATTACCTGTTGAGACTGTTATTTGGAAGCTATTGAAACATTTTTCAAGAATCACTGAAAAAGCACACACCATTTTGGTGAATTTCTAATTTAAATAGTATGGGCTTAGAAGGATATGCTTCAAGCAAAAATCTCATTAATTCCTCATACGTTCCATTTTGAAATTAACAGAAAGGTTTATGAATGAGGGGCAGAAGAAGAAAGATGAATTTCTGTCTTATTTCATTTCATCTGCCACTCAGACACTGTAATTTTTTATGTAAGAAGAACTACTTAGTTTTTGATAATTTAAGTGCCTCACATAATTAATATTTTGCTGGTCCATCAACTTCATCATTTTATCCCCTTTCTTTTGTGACTGGAAGCTCTAAGTAAGCACCAAAGTAATAGCTGAGTAAGATGATTAATCTTTAAACCATGCACTCATTTATATGATTTTTATTTCAATTAAATTTTGGAAATATTAAAAAGATGAATATCAACAAAATTGTTTTGGAGCAATTTGTGAAAACTATCATGGTAGATAGAGGATAATCAATAAATATTTGAGTGATGATTGTAGAAGAAAATTTATAATGTAGAAAGCAGTCATTTCCTTTACTAAAGAATTTACTCCTTTAAACTTAAAGGAATATTCTATTACTTTTCATGAGAGGAATGTTTGATTATTGATTATACATAGTTCTAATTATGTATTATAAGAAGATGCTGCATTTGGAATGCTCAGTGCTGGCATCTATTCCATGATGTGCTTTGCTTTTTTTTTGGCAAATAATATTAAGAATATATTACTTTTTCCCATTATAAAAAAATGATATGTTGTGTATTCATACTTATGTATATTTTTTTTAAAATGAAGGAGATTATTCATAATTATACCACTAAAAAAATCACAACTGTTAATTTCTTGGTGCTTATTTTTTAAATTTATTTTTAATTGAAGGATAATTGCTTTACAATTTGTGGTGCCTATTATTCCAGTCTCTATATGTAACCATTTCATCAAATGAACTTACCTCGTAGGGTACAATCAACAGAAGGGACTATTCCCCCTCCTACCCGCCCTACCCCGGTACCTTCAAATATTTCCTTCAAATTATTTCTTCCTTCTTTGTCTTTAACAACATCTCTAGCATTCTTCTTAATGTTTTTTTTTCTTTAATTCTCTCTCTTTCTCTCACCTTATTGGCTATAGTGGAAGTATTTACAACTATGGGAATTGGCTATGATTCAGGTGTTGCCCTGCTTCCTCTGTCTATACAATTATTGCTTCAAATAATCCAGTTCTAACTCATTCAGTGCATGACATGCCCTTAGTTCCAGGAATTGATTTAGAGGTTGCATAATCAATGTGATACTTAGAAAATTTACTGGGAATTCTGGGACGCAGGAGATCTCTCTTTTTCTCTGTTGGATAATGGAGAATATGTATACAAAGATTGAACTTGCTGCCATGACTATATTGGGAAGTCATTTTGTGAAGCAGCTCACCAGACATAATGATAATGTTGAGAGAAATGTGGAGATATTGAGCTGGAGTCCTAAAGAAATTATGCCTAAGGTCTGTGCTGGCTCTGGAATTTAGGTTTATGTGAGCCAATAAATCTCATTCAGTGTCTGAGCCAGTCTGAGTTGAGTTTTCTGTTCTTAGCTACTGAAAACATCCTAACTGGCTCATGTGTGGTTTAAACAGATGGTAATTGGAGATTATGCTCGTTTCCTCTTGCTGAACTGTCTGAGCGCAGTAGCATCACATGCTTTGTGGAATTCCAGAACTATTTTATGGAAATGAAGCACAGTTTCAGAAGATACTCACAGGTATTTGAGGGGTATGAATTATACATTATGTTTCTGCAATGTCTTTCAAGTGCAAACCTCAGAGGATACGATGAATTCTCAAGAATATGTCCTATTAATTTGGCTTAGTTTTAAGGGGACTCAATTGAGCTGAGGGATAATTAAACCTTCCAAGGTGATATAGAATCTCTGTAATGCCAAAAGCAAGTAATTAATTCCAGAGCTGTTATGAAATTATATGGCTGAAGTTTGGGTAATATTTGCTTTCACCTATCTTTATGAAAATATTTTCTTTTTCGTGTGTGTTAAGTCACTCAGTTGTGTCTGACTCTTTGGGACACCATGGACTGTATGTAGCCCAACTGTCTCCTCTGTCCACGGAATTCTCCAGGCTAGAATACTGGAGTGGGTAGCTATTCCCTTCTCCAGGGATCTTCCTGACCCAGGGATCTAACCTGGGTCTCCTGCATTGCAGGCAGATTCTTTACTGTCTGAGCCACCAGGTCATGAAAGTGTTCAAATACAAGTTAAATACAAGCTGAGATACAAAATAAGAGCTATTGTTTGTGAGATAAATCTGGGGTTGAAATTTAGACATATACTTGTTGAAAAGATCTCAGTTTTTTGGAGATCAGTTTGATGGCTCAGACAGTAAAGAATCTGCCTGCAATGCAGGAGACCCAGGTTTGATCCCTGGGTCAGGAAGATTTCTTGGAGAAGGGAATGGCCACCCACTCTAGTATTCTTGCCTGGAGAATTCCATAGACAGAGGAGCCTGGCAGGTTACAGAGTCTGACATGACTGAGCGATTAACAGTTTCAACAGGCAAAAAGTAGATCAGGGAAAACCCAAAAGCTTCATGAAAAATCACTGATATAGAGTGAATGATTTTAAAACGTATTTCTTTTGAGGAAGAGTAAGAAATAGAGGTAATAATTAGAAGTTAATATTAGAAAAACCGGTAATGTTATAAGTAATTGACTCTGGAAGGAATGAGTATGAAATTGCTGCTTTTTACTGTATACTGTTCTCTACTTGATTTTTTAAAAAATCATGTGCACCACCTTTGAGCAATTAAAGACATATCCCAGGTAGGGCTTTATGTCACACCCTCTCCACCCACTCCTGAATTTGGCTTCAGTGCGCAGACACTTCCCTGCAAGTTCTTTCCGTTCTTCTACCCACAGCATATGAGCTCAAAGGTAGTGTTTTTTTCCTCTTACTTGTTTTTATTTCTTTATTTTTCTTTATGCCTCAAAAGACTTCTTCAAAATTATGGGAGCCCTCCTGGTTAATGAATAGAAGCAACTAGGAAGTGGAGATGCATACAGACTCCTGGGGATAAACTTAACAGGGGCAGGGGAGAGAACCTGTGGACCCAATTTCAAGCTCCTACTCTTTTAGCTGGTAATTCTAGGAGGAATCTGAATATTTACTGCACTTGACAGAGGTCCCCAGCAGAATACATCCCAGGTTATCTGCTGAGATGATCTCGGGAATATATACTTAATTTGAAGTGTTCTCTTTCTCTCTCATCCTCCTACCCCCATTTCTTCTTCCCCATTCCTGCTTCCTAGAATCACCTCTCAAATAAACTATCCACATAAAGTTCTCATCTCAGGCTCTGCTTTCAGTGGAAATGAAGACAGCTCCTGATGTGAAAAGTGGCCATCCTCAGCACCCTGAAGTTTCTGGCCCCTGCTCTCTGCAGGACAGTTAGACTGCCCACGATTCCTGGGCACTGCTGCTGTGTGTGCCAACAGCAAAATAATCCCACTACAAACAATCAGTTCAACTATTACAGAAACGTACCAGATGAAAGGCTCATGGCTGGGGCAACAAATGCCATAAGGGAGTCTGTAAATGACTTTCTAGCCAGCCAAAGAAATGTCTTAGAAAAAGAAAGAAAATCTACGTGAAAGAGAAAAGAAGTTGGCATCTTACAGAGAAACGGAAGTGCAGTCTTTCCCTTTCCTCCTGTAGAGGAGGCTGAGAGGTGTGAGCAGCAGATTGCAAAATCAGCCAGGGAGCCAAGGACACCGCCAACTTGCTGTAGATGCTGGAACTCTCTCTGGGGTTTTTGAAAGCCCACAACAAGAGCCTGGAAAAATGACTGAGTAGAGACAGTATCTGCCATGGATGTAGGGTGAATTCTACCCATTGACTGAAACTCTGACAGGTCCAAGAATTCTGCAACCAGGAGACCTGCCAGATTTCAGATTTCTAGTTTCCAGTTTGGCTTTTTCTAGACTATGAATGGCCACTGGCTTCTCTCCATCCATATCATTCCACCCCCACTCCCTCTTCCATTAGCTACAGTGGGCTGGTTCTTACTATTTGCAGCCAAGTTCCAGGCAGTTTCAGATGCCCTCCTTACCAGCCTTGCCTCACCCATGCCCTCTCACTTGGGATTGTTTCCTTCCCTGGTCAAATCTTGAGGGACCCTTTGGACTAAGGCCCCCTCTCCTTTTCATTTTCCAGCTAATTCTATTTTCTTTTTTTCATCCACAGCCTATTTACCCACCTCTCAGTACATCTAACAGATCTTCACATGTGATGTCATCAGGTAAATGACATTGGCAAGTGATAATCCCCTGGGCAGTCGATGCCAGAACCACCAAGAGGAGTAAAGTGTCAGTCACTTTCACCAATTTCAGTGTCCACCTTAGAGGGAAGGGGAATTACTATGGGATTCCTGAGGTCTGCATGACTCTTGAGTATCCATAGCCAACACAGTTACTGCTCACTTTTCCTTCCCATCTGCTTCTTGGCTGGCTGGTGGGGGTGGGGGTCTTATTGGAGGAAAGCTTGTTTGCTAAGAAATTCTGCTCCTGGCTTTGCTCTGAGGATCTCATGGATGTGACTCTAAAAGCAAATTCTTTCAAGTCAACTTGCTCTTTTGAGCTAGATTTCAGTAAGCATCAAAATTTGAAACAAATTCTGCTATTCCTATCACTGAAAAGGCAAATAATCAGCTCATATTTCTGGGTTTTGTTCTAAAAACCTAAACACTCAAGATAGCAACATGTTTTTATGCCTAAAAACAGCCACTAATATGCCCCAAGTACTGTAGACCTATTTTCTATTAATTCTTAGATTTTAAATTAAAAGCAAAAACTGATTTTAAAAATATGTTAAAAAAAAAAAGAAGCCATGCTGGAAAGAAGCATGCTGTGGTGGCTTAAGGAGTGGCTGAGCCAAGCCACCTCGGTTGCAATCCTGATTGTGACCTTGGGCTGTCTGAATCTCTTATCTGAGACGGGAATAGTAATAGTACCTACCTCAGAGTTTTTCATGAGGATCAAATCAGTTAATACTTATAAAGAACTTAGAGTAGTACCTCTAACACAGTATTTCAGTTCAGTTGCTCAGTCAAGTCCGACTTTTTGTAGCCCCACGGACTGCAGCACACCAGGCCTCCCTGTTTATCACCAACTCCTGGAGTTTACTCAAACTCTTGTCCTTTGAGTCAGTGGTGCCATCCAACCATCTTATCTTTTGTCATCTCCTTCTCCTCCCGCCCTCAATCTTTCCCAGCATCAGGGTCTTTTCCAATGAGTCAATTCTTCGCATTAGGTGGCCAAAGTATTGGAGTTTCAGCTTCAGCATCAGTCCTTCCAATGAATATTCAGGACTGATTTCCTTTAGGATGGACTGGTTGATCTTGATTCTAGCTTGTGCTTCCTCCTGCCCAGCATTTCTCATGATGTACTCTGCATATAAGTTAAATAAGCAGGGTGACAATATACAGCCTTGGCATTCTCCTTTCCTGATTTGGAACCAGTCTGTTGTTCCATGTCTGTTTCTAGCTGTTGCTTCTTGAACCTGAATACAGATTTCTCAGGAGGCAGGTCAGGTGGTCTGGTATTCCCACCTCTTTAAGAATTTTCCACATTTTGTTGTGATCCACAGAGTCAAAGGTTTTGGCATAGTCAATAAAACAGAAATAGATGTTTTTCTGGAACTCTCTTGCTTTTTCAATTGTCCAATGGATGTTGGCAATTTGATCTCTGGTTCCTCTGCCTTTTCTAAATCCAGCTTGAACATTTGGAAGTTCACGGTTCACATACTGTTGAAGCCTGGCTTGGAGAATTTTGAACATTACTTTGCTAGCATGTGAGATGAGTGCAATTGTGTGGTAGTTTGAGCATTCTTTAGCATTGCCTTTCTCTGGGATTATAATGAAAACTGACCTTTTCCAGTCCTGTGGCCACTGCAGTGTTTTCCAGATTTGCTGTCATATTGAGTGCAGCACTTTCACAGCATCATCTTTCAGGATTTGAAATAGCTCAAGTGGAATTCCATCACCTCCACTAGCTTTATTTGTAGTGATGCTTCCTAAAGCCCACTTGACTTCACATTCCAGGATGTCTGGCTGTAGGTGAGTGATCCCACCATCGTGATTATATGGGTCATGAAGGTCTTTTATGTATACTTCTTCTGTGTATTCTTGCCACCTCTTCTTCATATCTTCTGCTTCTGTTAGGTCTATACTGTTTCTGTCCTTTATTGTGCCCATCTTTGCATGAAATACTTGCTTGGTATCTCTAAGTTTCTTGAAGAGATCTCTAGTCTTTCCCATTCTATTGTTTTCTTCTATTTCTTTGCACTGATCACTGAGGAAGACTTTCTTATCTCTCCTTGCTATTCTTTGGAACTCTGCATTCAAATGGGTGTATCTTTCCTTTTCTCCTTTGCCTTTCTCTTCTCTTCTTTTCACAGCTATTTGTAAGGCCTCCTCAGATAACCATTTTGCCTTTTGCATTTCTTTTTCTTGGGGTTGGTCTTGATCACTGCCTCTTGTACAATGTCACAAACCTCCATCCATAGTTCTTCAGGCACTCTGTCTATCAGATCTGATCCCTTGAATCTATTTCTCTCTTCTACTGTATAATCATAAGGGATTTGATTTAGGTCAAACCTGAATGGTCTAGTGGTTTTCCATACTTTCTTTAATTTGAATCTGAATTTGGCAATAAGGGTTCATGACCTGAGCCACAGTCAGCTCCTGGTCTTGGTTTTGCTGACTGTATAGAGCTTCTCCATTTTTGGCTGCAAAGAATATAATCAATCTGATTTCGGTATTGAGCATCTGGTGATGTCCATGTGTAGAGTCTTCTTTTGTGTTGTTGGAAGAGGGTGTTTGCTACAACCAGTGCATTCTCTTGGCAAAACTCTATTAGACTTTTCCCTGCTTCATTCTGTACTCCACGGCCAAATTTGCCTGTTACTCTAGGTATTTCTTGATTTCCTACTTTTGCATTTCTGTCCCCTATAATGAAAAGGACATCTTTTTTGGGTGTTAGTTCTTGAAGGTCTTGTAGGTCTTCATAGAATCGTTCAACTTCAGCTTTTTCAGCATTACTGGTCAGGGCATAGAATTGGATTACTGTGATATTGAATGGCTTGCCCTGGAAATAAACAGAGGTCATTCTGTTGCTTTTGAAATTCCATCCAAGTACTGTGTTTAATACTCTTTTGTTGACTATGATGGCTACTCCATTTCTTCTAAGGGAGTCTTTCCCACAGTAGTAGATATAATGATCATCTGAGTTAAGTTCTCCCATTTCAGTCCATTTTAGTTTGCTGATTCCTAACATGTTGTTGTTCACTCTTGCCATCTCCTGTTTGACCACTTCCAATTTGCCTTGATTCATGGACCTAACAATCCAGGTTCCAATGCAATATTGCTCTTTACAGCATCAGATTTTACTTCCATCACCAGTCACGTCCAAAACAGGGTGTTGTTGCTTTGGCTTCGTCTCTTCATTCTTTCTGGAGTTATTTCTCCACTGATCTTCAGTAGCATATTGGGCACCTACTGACCTGGGGAGTTCCTCTTTCAGTATCCTATCATTTTGCCCTCTCATGCTGTTCATGGGGTTCTCGAGGCAAGAATACTGAAGTGGTTTGCCATTCCCTTCTCCAGTGGACCACATTCTGTCAGACCTCCCCACCATGATCTGACCGTCTTGGGTGGCCCCACACGGCATGGCTTAGTTACATTGAGTTAGACAAGACTGTGGTCGGTCCTGTGATCAGATTGGCTAGTTTTCTGTGATTATGGTTTTAGTGTGTCTGCCCTCTGATGCCCTCTAGCAACACCTACCACCTTACTTGGATTCCTCTTACCTCGGACAAGGGGTATCTCCTCATCACTGCCCCTCCTGACCTTCAACATGGAGTAGCTCCTCTCGGTCCTCTTGTGCCTGTGCAGCCGCCGCTCCTTGGACATGGGGTTGCTCCTATCGGCCGCTGCCCCTGACCTCAGGTGTGGGGTAGCTCTTCTCGGCCACTGCCTCTGACCTTGGACATGGGCCAGCTCCTCTCGGCTGCCACCCCTGACCTCGGACATGGAGTAGCTCCTCTTGGCCGCTGCCCCTGACCTTAGAGGAGGGGTAGCTCCTCACGGCCATGCTTCTGCGTGGTCCAGTGCAGCCGGCATGCTTCTGCTGTTTACCTGTGGCCAAACTATGGTGGAGGTAATGAAGATAATGGTAACCTCCTTCAGGAACTGCTACACTCAGTGCCCCCACCCTGTAGCAGACCACTGCCGACCCACGCCTCCACCAGAGACTCCTGAACACTCATGGGCAAGTAAGGGTCAGTCTCTTGTGGGGTCACTGCTCCTTTCTCTTGGTTTCTGGTACACACAAGGTTCTGTTTGTGCCCTCCAAGAGTCTGTTTCCCAGTAACACAGTAAGCCTCATAGAAAAACTTTCATTCTTGTTCAGTCACCAAGTTATGTCCAACTCTTCGAGACCCCATGGACTGCAGCACACCAGACTTCCCTGTCCCTCAACTTCTCCTGGAGTTTACCCAAGTTCATTTCCACTGAATTGGTGATGCCTTCCAACTGTCTCCTCCTTTGTTGCCATCTTCTCCTTCTTCCTTCAATCTTTCCCAGCATCAGGGTCTTTTCCAATGAGTTCAAGTCAGCTGCTTTTATCAGTCAGCTGTTCACGTCAATAAAAACTTAGTGTATGAAATAAAATGTTTTCAAATACATCCTTCATTTTCTATGTCTATATGAGTGTATCAACAAATTATTTTTCTGTTTATATAAGTGGGTGTTCTGATATATATATATAATGGACCTGTTTTTTCCCCCCTTGACAATGAGTCTTGGCCTTCTTCATTGTCAATATTTAGAGATACAGATGTCATTCTTTTTAATGATTATATATATTCTACTCTGTGACTGTACAATGGCTTAACAGTCCTCTGAATGGATTTATGTTGTTCTAATGTTTCTGTTACCAATACTGCTATAACACAGAGGTGTGGGCCTGTATTTCCAAACACCACAGCAAGTGAATTCATAGAAATAAAATAAAATTATTTGCTTTTATTTTACTAGATATGTATTGCCAACTTCTCTCCCAGAAAAGTTTACCAGTTTATACTTGATATGGACTCTTCCTGATTGAAATATGATGACTAAGCACTGATTCTTGGTGGATGGGAATAAATTTGAAATGCAGAGAAATGTGTCTGTGGCATTACTAGACAGAATGTATGGAAATACATGAATTGAAATAAATTTAGGTCATAACTTTTCTGAATAGGAGCTTTCCTTAGGTCTGAGCCCAGTTTTGAGAATGTACAGAATACTGCTAGCATCCATGGCCACTGCCCCTTGGCTCAGGAAATCTCCTCCAGTTCATCAGTGTGCTCATAGTGATGGGCTTGGAAAAAACTGCTTTGGTCTGCTTTTGTGTTTTTGTTGTTGTTCAGTTGCTAAGTCATGTCCAACTCTTTGAGACCCCATGAACTGCAGCACACCAGGCCTCCCTGTCCTTCATTATTTCCCGGAGTTTGCTCAAACTCATGTCCACTGAGTCGGTGATGCCATCCAACCATCTCATCCTCAGTCACTCCCTTCTCCTCTTGCCCTCAATCTTTCCCAGCATTAGAATTCCAATAAGTGGGCTCTTCATATCAGGTGGCCAAAGTATTGGAGCCTCAGTTTCAGCATCAGTCCTTCCAATCAATATTCAGGACTGATTTCCTTTAAGATTGACTGGTTTGATCTCCTTGCTGTCCAAGGGGCTCTCAAGAGTCTTCTT